ATGCATATAGAGTGTCGAGTAGTGGAGGGAGGCCCATACGCACGCGCGCGCGTGCGCACACACACACACACACACACACACACGCACGCACACACGCACACACACACAGGCACACGCACGCGCCGAGAGGCAGTGGCGCAGGCGAGGACGACTGCGAGTGGGCCGGAGATTGACGTACATATGCACCCACGCACGCACGCACAGACACGCACAGACACACACGCACAGCCGTGGACGGTCGAGGATGAGAAAGGAGGAGAGGGAGGGACAGAAGATGGTATCGGAATTCCACGGGGAGAAAAAGGTGAGCGCTGCTTCTGGATGGAGAATGTGCACACTCATTGTTGTAGTGTATTGACTGAAGTGCGACGGAATCTGGACATGTTTTTCGCTTAGGTACGTTCCATGTAATCCCCCGAAAGTACAAGTCTGAGTATGCCGTAAGGGCATGCGCATGCTCATACCAAGACTCTCCTGGATGTATCTCACCCCCAATACCAGTCCGACGCAGTCAACGCTCTCGCTTTCACATAGCAGTTCTGTTTCTCTATTTTTTTGACGCAGTTCTGTTTCTCTATTTTTTTGACGATTTTTCTTATTTCGTCGGGGAGATGGCGGGTGAATCGCTCGGTCTTCGTGTAAAAATTTTCGTTTTTTTTTTTTTGCTTTTCTTTTCTCTCCTCCTTTTTTTTTTCTTTTTTCTTTCTTTTCCTTCTTCTCAAAGTTGATGGCATATGTTTACGATAGCAGATCTATAAGCGAGATTGAGCCACAGCAGCGACTACTCCAATCCGGTTCCCCGACTCGTCACACATTTATTTTTTTCACTCACCTAAACGACACTCACACTTCCCCTTCCGCATTCGGTATTCTTTTTTTTTTTTTTTAAGTATTCACAGATCCAGACATTGCAGCAGATTCCTCGAAATGACCACTCTCTCACAGCAAGCATGCCATTGGGCAAACCCGCTAATCAGATGCGATGACCACAGGATTCTCAACGACCCTCGAACACGTTGACACACATGGCTCAGGACAGAGGSGGGGGGGGGGGGGGAACACTACCGTCATTACCCGAACAGAACGTCCGGTCATTATAGCTGCATTTGGCACAACTTCCAGTCCAGATGCAGCGATAATTATCGGGCGTTTTATTCGGGTGAAGACGGTAGTCAGATGAGATGACAACGGTTCACCAAACACTGGACGGTCTGACGACCACGCATGACACAGCCCAGAGAAGCCATCCATAGGTTTGCCACCAAAAACTGGATGAATAAATCATCGGCGTGACTCCGCGCATGCCCATAGCCCAAACTCGCTGTTCGCTATCTGCGTCCCGCCTTCGGCCTAATGATGCCACCGGGGGGCATGATTAGCGGACCAGTTTCGCTATGCATGTGACCCCAGTTTACCATAAGATTCATTCGGACTTGGCCCTAGTGAGTGTGCCGTGATATTATTGAGCTGCTGGTCGACCGAGTACTACGGGTAGTTGGTCAACGTCTTGTGAGGGCATGCTCAAGCAGAGTCCTCCGGATGCATCTGACGGTAGTCACGGCGAAGTTCAGAAGGAACAGACGCGGCATCGTGAAAAGTTAAGAGACAGACAGACAGACAGACACAGAGACAGAGACAGACACAGAGAGAGAGAGAGAGAGAGAGAGAGAGAGAGAGAGAGAGAGAGAGAGAGAAGGGAGGGGGTTCCAGGCGCATCTTGTGGAGACGATGAACAGTGAGCATCTATTCTTCCTGAATTAGACCGTAGCGCTCAGATGCGTCCGGAGGGCTCCCGTTGTCATGTGCTGCTTGGTAAGAGGAGTAAGGAGGGTGATAAGTTGATAACGGAGAATATATATATAATTTTCTGTTTTCTTTCTCTTGAGAAAGCTATGGCGGAGCCAAGGTTAGACCGTTAGAGTATGAAAATGCTTTTGAAACACCAAAACATCAGCCTGGTGAGAGCCCGTGTTTCAAATGCAGTTGAAACTCGGGCGAGCAAAAGAGTAGCTCCGGGTGAGTTGTCAAGTGCAGTATGGTCACCCAGGTGGCAGGGCGCAGGAGAGGCCCTGGTCCCGCTGAAACTGGGTGCCTCCCTGTTTTCTGGTACCGCGTGAAGCTCGGGACACTACCGTGCGCCTGCTGCCGCGAGAGAGAGAGAGAGAGAGAGAGAGAGAAGCCGCGCGTCTTTCCAGGCACCCGGCATTCAAGCAATCTTTCCGTTCCGGTTCAGCTATAGTGGAGCTGCTGTGTATGGGGGTGGGGGTGGGTGAATCGGACCCGAAAGATAGCTTGGATACATCCTTTAGTAGGGGGCCTTGAGTCCCGGGGAAGAAGCGTGCTCTCTCTCTCTCTCTCTCTCTCTCTCTCTCTCTCTCTCTCTCTCTCTCTGTCTCTCTCTCTCTCTCTCTCTCCACTCCCCCTTACCCCCCCCGCCCCCCGCCCCGGTGGCACAACCACCTTCAGCACTGCGCAACGCACTCTCATTTTGGCCGAATCGGACTGGATAGATAGCTTGTATACATTTGTTGTCAGGGTGCGTTTGTGTTTGGGGCAAGAAGCAGGTGCAGATTGCAAGTGGCAGACCCCCTTTTTTTTTTCTTTTTTTTTTTTTTGAAGCAAGACCCCCTTTTCGACTGGTTGAATTGATCCGACCAGTTATTGTGAGGACTGGCTTCGTCAAAAAAGGCGGCCTGCATACAAAACTCGGGCCTGACTCGAAGTTTCAATTGCATTTCGAAACTTTTCTTGCGACCGGTGCATAGTTGCTCCCTTTTTTTTTCTTGAGGTTGGTCGCGTCACGACCTCTTCGTTTGTTGCCCACGGGCCAAGTCCCCCAAGTCCCACTTGGCCGGATTCTTCTTCTTTCTTTGTCCGGTGACCTTCATAATCTACGGTCACAAATTGAGGACTGACTTGAGTGGAACTCGGCCTGGAGGAACTTTGAGGAGATCAAGAACAGTTGCAGGCGACAATATGTAGCGACATTACGACTGCCTCCTATGTCTGCTTCTGACAGAAGAATGGCCGACGCCGCGGCGTTAGAAAAGAAAAAGATGTTCAGTACGGACGTTTTGCATTACATTTTTATTATAGGAGTTCGAACTCGCGTTTGCCTTACATTTTTATAATCCCGCGTTTTGCTCTTATCTCCATTCTCCTGTGTCTTATTTTATCACCCTTCTCCTTCTTCCTCGTCTTCCTCACTTTCAGAATCTTGTCTTTTGCTCTAATATCCTTTCCCTTTTTCAGCCACTTTTTTCTCCTTCTCTCTCCTCTCTCTCTCTCCCTCTCTCTCTCTCTCTCTCTCTCTCTCTCTCTCTCTCGATCTCGGTTTCGATCTCGATCTTGATCTCGGTTTCGGTTTCGGTCTCGATCTCGGTTTCGGTCTCGATCTCGATCTCGATTTTCGGACTTATAACACGAATTCCGCTGGAGGTCCGAATGGTTCGCCGATGTATCGTAGGGACATACTGCGCAGGTGAGTGTGGCTCTTTTCCTTTTTTCTTTTACAACGCGAGCTTTCTGGATGCATCTGGCCGTGATTGCGGGCACATTCGGGGGAAATGTCATGCAAGACGTCGGAGTAGTTCATCCATGTATTATACTAGGGGCATTCTCGCAACGGGAGTGTTTCGCTTTTTCTCGTTTTTTTTTCTTTTCCCCGCACTGGGAGCTTTCTGGATGCATCTGACAGTAATTACGACGACATTCTATGGAATATACTTGCGGCATATACTCACACGGTAGTAGTACTCTTTCAACTGAAATCGGGCTGAATCTGGTCGAAATTCCACTTAAATACTTTTTCCAGATACGTTCCGGAAAGTGTAAGCGAGTATGGACTAAGTACCCCTTGGCTGTTTTCTCATGTACATACAAATACCCTATCTGGGTGGCCGCGGCCTACCCCTCTTCGAGTGAGAACAACCCCCTCAGAAAAAAAAAAACAAAAAAAAACAGGAAAAAAAAAGAACCGAAATCCGTTGTGACTTACTTGTGGTGTTCCTGAAGCTTCGGTTTTCGCAGGAAGGGAAGGGTAGATTCCTGATGATTTCTTCGGTTTTCGCTTAAGTGCTTTATGTATTCTGCCCCCCCAAGTAATCGATGTCGATTTATGCTCTGTCTTCTGCTGTCATATAAACAATTTCAATTATAGTTCATAGGTGTGCCAACTGAGCTGAGCCCATTCGTACTGTCTTCTGTTTTTCGAAAAAGCTTGTCCTTCAATTGTCATTATTTTAAATTGCCCTTCAGTACTGTCATCTCTAACTTGTTCTTCCTTTTTCCCGCTGCGAACTCTTCTTCTCCCCCCTCGCATTCCCTCCCCTTCCTCTCCCCTTCCTCCTTCGTCTCTCGTCCCTCCCTTCCAGCTCCCTCCTCCCTCCCTCTCTCCTCCCTCTCTCCTCCCGCTCTCCTCCCGCTCTCCTCCCGCTTTCCTGCTTTTACTCCCTGCACCCCCTCGCTCCTGCCTCTCTCCCTTCTGCCTCCTCCCTCCTCCCTCCTCCTCACCGGTTTCGTGGTTTGTCTGTTCTCTTGATAGTGTATGCGTGTTTCCAGGAGGTGTTCTCTCGGCTTCCGTTTTCCGCTCTTCTACTCATCAGTATATTTGGCGCCTTCTGCTTGAACAAACTTACTCACTTCGTGAGCCTTCTGCGGCTCTGCCCCTCCCGCCGCCGCTAATTAAACAGCCGAAATTGAGCATCGTTCAAGGTACTCCGTCCGTCGAAGCGCTGGTTTCTCTCTCTCTCTCTCTCTCTCTCTCTCTCTCTCTCTCTCTCTCTCTCTCTCTCTCTCTCTCTCTCTCTCTCTCATCGCGCGGCAGAATTCCCATTTAACGTTCTTCACTCCGGATGTTCCTAATTGTCGTCGTCGGGATACAGACCTTAGGGCAGGCTGTCGTGCGGACCAGTGATCTTTGACGGACCAGGGATCGTCAGAGATCAGGGATCTCTGACGTCACTGTATATCTGCACAATCTACGGTCAGACGAGATCGATTCGGTCGTCCATGAGATCAATCACATCCGGATAGGAACTTCTTCAAGGTTGGCTGGCTGACACGTGTCGAGGCTGATGGCGGCGGTCATCAACATTTACGAGCGGATAAGATCATTCCGTTGTTTTGTCGTTACCTGCTCCTATGTCGTTGTCCTTCTGACAACGTGCGCCTCTAGAGCACGAGCATCGCCGACGACGACGAGGGCGACAGCTGGCGGTTGCGGGAGTCCTAATGCCGCACGTAATCTCTTCTGCCCGAAGCCCGGTCTGAAGTGGCAGATCCAGTTCGTCGGCCGCCTGCAGGTCAGCGCTGGGATCCCGATGTACGACATCGATCTGTTCGACACGCCGAAGACGACGATTGCCAGTCTTAAGAAGAGCAAGCATTTTGTGGTGTGCTATTTTAGCGCGGGAACGCGCGAAGATTGGCGCCCGGACGCCAACAAGTTTCCCGCGAAAACTGTCGGCAAACCTCTCCCTGACTGGGATGGCGAGAGATGGCTGGACATTCGCTCGACTCTCGTGCGACAGGTCCTTGCCGCGCGTCTGGATCTCGCCGTCCGAAAGGGCTGCCACGCCGTCGATCCCGACAACGTTGACGCTTTCACCAACGACTCCGGCTTTCAGCTCACAGCCGCTGATCAACTCGATTTCAACCGTTGGATCGCGAGATCCGCGCACTCCAGGGGGCTGTCCGTCGGTCTGAAGAATGATCTCCGACAGGTGGCTGCCCTCGTCAATGACTTCGACTTCGCCATAAACGAACAGTGCAACGCGTACACAGAGTGTTATTACCTCGACCCGTTCATTAAGAAAGGCAAGGCGGTCTTCAACATCGAGTACGTCGAGAGGACCTCCCAGGCAGCGCAACTCGCCAAACGCATTTGCCCGACGATGACGAAGAAGAAGTTCTCCACCATCATCAAGTCAAATGACCTCAATGCCTGGCGCTACAGCTGCTGACTTGTCCGTTAGAGTGGGAATGCAGGTGCGGCTGGTGATGATGCTCGCAAAGGGGGAGGGGGAGAGCGGTGTATGCTGTAGTTTCACCCCGCGTTGCAATCGGTGAAGCAAGGCAACGAAGAAGAAGAAGAAGAAGAAGAAGAAGAATACAAGGACGACGAGGAGGAGGACAGCGAACACCACGATGAGTGAGATGGGGAGAACATGATGACGACCATGGTGATGGTTGCTGGAGTTCCTCCAATTAGAAAGAAAGACCATTATTGCTGCATGTGCCTTGAGGTTTCACAAGGATAAATAAGCTCTTTTTTTTTCTTTTTTCTTTTTTTTTTTTCCATGTTCCCGCCATTTAGGAATGGCAATTGTCAAAGACATCCCAGGACAAACGGACGTGACACCCGCCATTCCAAATGAATCTTGCAGTACCAATTCATTTAGCCAGCTAAATAAATAAACGCAAGTCAACTTTGGAGACTTCCATGACTCCACAGGCCGTTGTGAAATCTATTTTTATAATCATAATTTTTTATTCAGTTATTTTTATTATTTATATTCTTGATTTTAAACAATATTTTCTATTATATTCAATACATATCAACATATAATTGATTATAAATTTAGATGAAAAAAATGAGGATAATTTTGGTTCTTTTTTGAAACATTCCGCCAATGCGGCCTGTGTTTTATATATGATTTTCTTTGTTAACAGGAGAATCATACTGATCATGTAAAACAAAGACCCTTAATACGGGCAATCCTAAGTGCAACCAAGTTGCCTCTACCAAGAAAATTCCGGAACGCCTTCAACTGACTCAACGTGACAGGATTGGAACCTATATTCTAATAGATTCTTTATATTCATTTCAATCCATAAGGAAAAAAAATATGTACTATTTTTTGCATATTGTAAATAAATTTATTAATGGGGAATAGAATAACACATAAAAAATTCATTTATTGAACATTTGAAGGCTCAAAAAGTGAGAAAAAAGTAAATTTATAGATCAGGTATAGCTGAGATTGCTAGGACTTGGATAATCTACCAAATGATTGTTGAATGTAGAAAATATAGGTTGTTTAAGAATCAATAGTCGTCTTGCCATAAATATTTAATTGTTGTTTTTGTATGGTGTAGTCAAATAGAGTACCTAGGTATCCACCGTACGCCCTTCCTTAATTGAACCTATTACCTTCCTTTCGGACTCCAAACACATTGTACTTAGAATAGATTCAAAAAATCCATTCTATTGTTTTGGGTGGGGTGAAGTTGACAAACAAATCCCACCAGGAGAAATGTCAAGTGGTTCAAGGCAGAATAGTTTAGTAGGTTATAACAGCGGTATCGAACCAAATACCCGTACAAGGGTATTTGGCCATGCTTTTGCATTTGACACGGTGACGGCGTCGGCTACCATGATGAAGCCGATCTGAGATGACATGGGTGTGCACGCTTTTGCGTGACACTTGAAACGATTTCCGCGGCCATTGAGGCCGAGGCGAATCGGTGAGAAAATTTCGAGAGTCTGTGCGCGCGTTGTCTTGACGCGCACTGTGATGGTTAGGATTAGTAGCAATACCCTCGGACAGAAAAGATTGAGGGGTTGATTGGGTCAGTATCGTGTCAGGTAGGCCTATGATACACGCTGAGACTTGGGCTGGTCCCTGTCTACCTACTAGATATTGAGCGTCTAAAAATGCTAACTTTTGTCTTCTCCTACTCGGCCTCGACTACCCGGCACATCTACCTCTACTTGGTGTGGTACCGGCCTAACTGCCACTTGAGTGTTTCCGCGGTTCTTAAGTGTCGCGGACCTCCTACCCTACTACTTAAGTGTTTTCCCCGTTGTTCTAAGTGTGCGGGTCTTACCCCGCTACCTTATAATTTTTCCCGTTGCGACCCTCAAATAGCGCGGCCACAACTAAAGTACCGGTCCGACTGGCCTTCCGATCAAACGAATGACCTTGCATGTCATACGCACACTCGAGCCGACGAGCACTCAGACAGGGATGCAGACCGGTAAGCGTGCTCGCACGCAGACTTAGAAACGGGCGCAGGCCACTAGGCGGACTGAGCCGCACTTCAATATATATTTGAGTTGCTCCTCTTCTAACCGAAGTAGGAGCTAGCTCAGTGGGTTTCGGTGCGGATTGCAGATCGAAGGACTCGGGGATCGAATCCATCCGACCTCTGAACTAGCTTGTTTTTTTTAAAGGGAGCTCAATTTTAACCCCGCATTCGGTCGACCGGGGACTTGAACCCGTGACCTTCTTAGTTAGAGTTAGTAGTTATAGCCAGCCTCGTTTGAAAACGAGGGTCCGACACTTGGCACGAGTAGGTAGTTAGTTGTTAGATTTGGTTGTTTTTATTTTATTTGTTGTTAGTTGGATTCGTTTTTTTTTTTTTTTTTTTTTTTTTTTTTTTTTTTTTTTTTTTTTTTTTTTTTTTTTTTTTTTTTTTCCTTGTTTTTTTTGCTAATTTCGTAACTGCTTCAAGCTTCTAAAAGATTCACTGTAATGAATCTACATAGGAAAGTCGGGCAGATTCGTCTTCACAAAATCTGCTCGACTCCAGACGTAGCAGATTGAGACTTTGGCCCGCATGCTCGGGCTGAGTGCTTGACGGGAAAACGCAACGGCGCATAGCAGTACGCGGAGAAGAGAGGAGCAAGAGTTGCGCGGGGAAGTGGCGGAAGCTAGCAAAGAAAAGGGGGAATGGCTACGCAAAGAGGGGAAGGTGACTGCGCAGAAGGAGAAGAAGAAGAAGGAGATGGGGAGCGAGAGTTGTGCGGGGAAGTGGCGGAAGCTAGCAAAGAAAAGGGGGAATGGCTACGCAAAGAAGGGAAGGTGACTGCGCAGAAGAGAAGAAGAAGAAAAGGGGGAATGGCTACGCAAACAGGGAAGAAGAAGAAGAAAAAGAAGAAGAAGTAGAAGAAGGAGAAGGAGATGGAGAAAGGGAAGGGGGTTCGTCACGATGAAGTAGATTGTTTTAATTATCGATCTTGAACGAGGAATGTCTAATCAGCGCGAGTCATCACCTCGCGCTGATCACGTCCCTGCCCTTTGTACACTCCGCCGTCACTCCTACCGATTGAATGGTCCGACGATGTATCTGGATCGCCGTGATCACGACCGTTTGCAGCCGGGGGTGCTGTGGAAAGGTTCATTGAACCTTATCATTTAGAGAACGAAGAAGAATGAGGAGGAGAGAGAAGGAGGAAGGAGAAGGAGAAGAAAGAAGAAGAAGGAGATGGGGAGGAAGGAGAAGGAGAAGGGATTGAAGAGCACTTACCTGAATCTGCGGCCGGGCCACAACGACAAACGACGGCGACGACGGCGACGACGACGACTGATGAAGACGACGACAGCAGCGGAGCGAGAGAATGGGAGAGGTAAGTCCGCGATCACGCAATTTACCTCGTGGTACTTCCATCAATAAAATATATATATATATATACATATGTAAATAAATAAATAAATAAATAAAATAAATCTACCACTAAAATATGGAAAGATTCATTATTACACATGAATATATATGTGTGAGTGTGTATGACCGATCGTGCGGCCAACTGCAAGCTACTTTATCGAAGAGAGGGGCGGAATCGGGTGAATCTACCGCTATAACAAGGGAAGTCTACACTACTTCGAGCCTACGTGTGTGCGAGTGTGTGTTTGCGTGAGAACGTGAGCTAGTGTGTACGCATCGATCGTCGCTGGTCATCTGGTACTTCCATCGTTGTGTTTACATGCAAAGGTCTGTGTGTGTGTGTGTGTGAGAGAGAGAGAGAGAGGGAGAGAGAAAGAGAGAGAGTTCTTCTTCTTACTCTTCTAAGTCCACCATCTCTCCTCACCCTCTCGCTACCTAACTTCTCCGTACATGCAGACTACGAGGAAGAGAGAGATTGGTGACTCTGGGACTAGACGACATTGGGATTCAGACTCGACATTGGATTTCAGACACCTCGAACAGGTCAAAGAGGGATTATTTAGGACCTGTATCGAAAACTTGGTGTTGACGACATTCCCATCTTTCCCCTTCTCCTCGTCTAATCCCCTTCTCCTCGTCCGATCCCTTCCCTTCGTATGTGTATGAGGGGGGACTGTGCCAAGATGTCCATTATGTGACTCAGACGCGTACTACTTGTTTCTTCTTTTGTTTTTGCCTTCCTGGAAAATCTTCCGAGATGCACGCCGTCATTATGGCTTTCGTGTCAATATAAAATAAAATAAACAAAATAAATAAATAAATAAAAATCGAATAACCTACAGCTACAACGTGGAAACATACACTACGACATACTACACATGTATGCATATGTGTGTGTGCGTGTGTGAGAGAAAGGGAGAGGGAGACTTACCTGTGACGCCAAAGCCCAGCCATCATGGCAGGTGGGCATGGACTACAGTGAGGCGCAGGGGGGATCTTCGAGTGTAACAGAGGACATGACATGGGTATATAGTCAAAGGGGGTAGGTGAATGGTGATGATGATGATGATGATGTGAGGGCACTTACCTTGTAATGGCGATGGTATGCATGGGCGACATCTTCAAGTACTTCGGGTCGCCGCAGATGTCAACAGTTGCATTGTCCATTCGTAGGCTATAGTAGCCGTGTAGGAGTAGGCTGAGTACTGAGCGCCAAGGGTGAGAGTGGAGGGATTGGACTCTTGTATTCGTGTGCAGAGAACATCATCTCATGGACATTGGTTTTCAGTGCTACGAACCTCCATTGGTGCATTATTGGTGCAATGTTGCTCTTTGGACACAGTGTGACTATTTGGCTTGCAGTGTGATGGTGTGATCTGGGATTGCCATCTCGCTCTTGCTTATTTTCCTCGTTGCAATATTTTATTATTATTATTATTTTATTATTATTATTATTATTGTTATTATTATTATTATTATTATTATTATTATTATTATTATTATTA